CTCCAACAGGTTTCTGGGCGGCATAACAATGGAAGTGTTCAGAGGGATCACATAGCATTTATCCAGGTTAAGATCTAAATACGCAGTGAGTTTCTGGGAAGAAAAAGATGCATTTTAGTTAGATGAATATCTGTAAGACAGGCAGCAACTAGATTTTTGAGATTAATTGGTACCAATAAAATGGGTTGACTTTAGAATGTATCAATCATCTGTATTTCAATAAATTAAGAATTTGGTGAGATAGGAAAATAGGAATGGGGGAGAAAAATTACTGCTAGTAAAATTCTTACCAGGGGCTTGTTTCTATAATAAGTAATAATAGTACCTATTAAAATTAATTACAAATACCTATCATTGGATTGGGAGATTTGGTGCCCTTCATTTATAAGCCCAAATACCCCTTCCCCTCTCTCTTATGTATTTGAAATACTAGCACCATCCTTAGAGCACTGGGAAAACGACCTCTTAAAATGATTTTGTCTTCTGTGGTTCAGATGAGAAAGCCCAGTTCACAATATAGCTTTGAGGATACAGTTAAAGTGAACCCTACAACACTGAGATTTCTAAGAACTCGGTGTTAGCTACTATTATTTACTCTTTGCTTTGGCTAAGTTTTTTTAACTTGAAGTAATTTCTCAAAATGGTTTATATGAAATGTCTGCAAAATTAACTGCAGGGATACATGTCAATGTTCAAAATGGCAAAACCACAGTCAATCAATGAAGTTCTGAATCTCTGAATCCTGATTTGAGGAAGCAAGTTCCTAGGACGAAAGTACTGGGGAAATTGAAATATAAACTAATATAACTAAATAATATGTTAATTTTCTTAGACATGATAATGACATTGTAGTTGTGTAGAAGAATTTCCCTTTTCTTAAGAGGTAACAGATTAAGTATTCAGGGGTAAATAGTCAAATGGTAGGAAAATAAAGATGAAGTAAATATGGCAAAATGTCGGAGCCGGATTGGAAGATTTGGGTATCACATCAACTCTTTTCCATTGCATAAAAATGTTGAAAAGTAGGGAGGAAATGCAGAATGAGAACTTAGACAAAGATCAATAAATAATTAATTTCTGAAAAATTCTATAAAGAAGTGGGAACACAAATTACATCCTTCTAAGAAAATATGGGAGTAAGAAAAAAATAAAAATAATTTGCCAGCATAGGAAGAAGAGCCATGAAGTGGGCTTTCACAATAGGTAAGGCAAGGGAAGAATGAGTGTAAGATGTGAGAAGACCAGGTCCCTAGGGGTCTGCTTGAGAGAAAGCAAAGAAATCCAATTCCATTTTTAAAAGTAAAAATTAAATAGAAAATTTAACAAACACTGAAATTAAACTACAAAAAGCACAAACGAAAAACCTACATTCTTAAAATTCTGGACACTTGGCTCACCTTGTTAAAGTCATGAACAATGTTAGCAGGATCACTATCTGCAAATTCTGGGACAGGCACGCTGATGAATTCAACCGCATCTTCTTCAAAGATTTTAATATTTTCTTCAATTGTCTGGTAGCGAGCAGCTGGGGCATCTGCAGAAGGCTCATTTAAGATGACATCATCTTTGATGTACTTTATTCCACAGTAGTACACGTCATCTGGCTATAGAGAGTTTAAACACTCATTTCAGCAATTCAGGGTGAGACAGGTTTTTAAATGTAAGCATTACTTAAGCTGCCACCTCTATCTAAATAGCATTTTGCTTGCAAACTCTTACTTTTAGATGACAGGTCAGACAGTTTAATTACAGAGTTAACACATTCTTTAAGATCAGGTTCTGAAGTAATATTAAAAAAAAATGGCTTCAGAAGGAGAAAAGCAGTTGATTTTTCCCTTTACTTTTTGTGGTAGATAAAAACAGAATGTAGGAGAAATTACTCATCTAGAGACAAGTAAGTGTGAAGAAACACACAGGCCTACTTCTACCTGCAGGCACCGTTTTTCACAAAAGAATATATGAAGAAACAAGTCATGTTTTTGTCTGAAAGAACTTGCTTTTGATGTAGTTTACTTATTACATGATTTTCCCTTTATTAGCCAATACTGATAATTTTTTGAATTTTACACATAAGTACACGTAAATCTGATTTTTCCTTTATATCATAATTAAGTGAAAAACATAGTAAATCTTTGTAATTGTATTATATTTAAATGTAAGCATTTCTGAAAATGCTACAAAGCCAAGTTCCAACCTCTATCTAAATAGCCCTTTTCTTGCAAACTCTTTTACATTTCGATGATAAGTAAACCAAAATATAGACTTCATGTGTGTGTACATGTAGGGGGTTGTTTACAGTATACATATATACAATAAATACTGGAGGCCTATTAACAAAATGTTATCTCTGAACAGTAGAAATGCCAAATGATTTTTGTCTGTATCACATGAATTTTAATAAAAAATTATATTTTTAAAAATGACTAGTGGGCTGGGTTTGTAGCTCAGTGGTAGAGTGCCTGTCTAGCATGTGAGGCACTGAGTTCAATTCTTAACACTGCATATAAATAAATAAATAAATAAATAAATGCTGGCCCATCAACTAAAAAGACATTAAAAATAATGATTGGTATTTCAGTAATGTCCATCAACATGCTGTCATCTTGAATAATACAGAAAAAAGCATAAGATTTATTCATTCTATATTTCTAAATTAGTTACTTCAATTTTTAAAGTGAATTAGTTTTCAACTGTTTCTTAAAATTCTGAAACATTGAAATATTTGAAATATTCATTAAAAACTTAATTTCCTACAGCAAAATTCCTAAAGGGGAGAAAAAGCCCTACTTCATGATTGCCTAGAGAAATATACACAAAAGAAGTCATAATTAATTGAAAGAAAAAAACCTATGTCTCAATTCACTGGGATTACTATTAAAAATTCTAACTTATAAGCAAATTTTACCCTAGGTTACTATATTATCACTGCTGCAGTTATCCTACTCTTAAAGAAATCAATGACTTTGGTCTGGGCTCAAGAGCAAATGGCTATTGTAGGGGTAAATCAAATTGGTTTACCCATTAGCCACAAATACTGTCTATCAACAGACAGTATTTGTGGCTAATGTATTTATTCAAATGGCAATTCATGATACTATACCTTTCAGCCGATAATTATAGTAGGAAAATGAAGTCAAGTCGATTTTGAAAAATTACCCAACAGTCTAAACCCTTTAGTCAGCGACATCTCAAAATACTGCTATTCTGCCTTTTGGCAAACATATGATTAGAAGACTTTTTTTTAAATACAGCTTTAAAACAGGACCACCATTCTGGCTAAAAGCCACAGACTGCAAGTAGAAGCTTAGGACTAGTTAGGAAATCTTTCTGATACACATGATGGGAAGGCCAAAAAAAAAAAAAAAAAATTTTTTTTTCCACTTACTTGAAGTGCAAAATATTTGTACAGATAAGCTCCTCCAAGAATGACACCTGCTAGCATAAATGCTAGTCCAAAGCACATGCACCAACACCAAGCTCTTCTCTGGCCAACTGGTACCACATCATCTGGATCCTAAGATATAAAATGGACAGTTTATATCTCTGAGCAGAATCACAAAAGGCTCAGAATTAGAAAAACCTTAAGGATTATTGTTTTAATGAATAAAGACATAAAGACCAAAAGAGTTGGGACCCTGATCAAAATCAACCCAGGAATAATAACTGGTAGTAATAATAATCTCCATGCCTGCTCAACTGGAGGACACTGGTCCCTAAGGAGAATTAAACCGATTCTAATTTTCAATACCATATCTGCTAATCATGTCTAAAGCAATGATATACTCTATAATTTCTATTTTCCATGCATTTTTGATGCTATTATCTAACATCTAAAAATTCACAAAAGGTTACAACTTTGTCTTGCAGTATTATGATACCAAGCTTCATGTATTACACAGATCTAGGGAATCTTATCAGATCAGTCTCAAAATTATGTGTTACCCTGCTGTAAGTAGTTCATGCCAGGCATAAAACCATTCCTGATTCATCCATAAGAACAAGTAACAGGAAAATAAGAAAGGACAGAACAGACAATACGATGCTAAAATTCTTTAAACAATTAGAATCTCAAAGAGCACAAAGTTACTCAGAAATAACCCTATAATTCCATTGTTCTAAATTAAATAACAGTTTACTAAAGTTCCTCATTTTATTCAAAATCAAAGCAGCAGAAAAGAAAAAGACCGGTTATTAATTAAAAAAACTAATTCAATAATTAAAAATTAAAACCTAATATGGAGTATGTTAAGGGAGAAAGTGGACTTAACCTAAGCCATAGAATAGTATGTATAAATTTAGACAGAAAAACTGTATTAATGGATGAACAAAAATATTGTGAGATTATCAGACCAAGAAAATATATGTGGTTGAAGCAAATCCTTAAGAAAGAGAGTAAGGTTATGTTTTCAGTTCCAAGATAAGGAATTTTATCTTGATTTTATTGGGAAAAATTCAATCCCAAATGTTACAGCAACCAAGAGCAATGTAACAGTATGCTCCTAGATTGATTGAGGTTGTATTTTTAAAGATAGACTTTAACACTTAACAAATACTATTTAATCTAAGAATCAGATAGATCAAGCACTATGAGTATTACATTTTGCTGTGATACTTGTTCATATGCCAAGTGTGCACACTTAAGGCACTGAGTACACCACTGGGAAGCAGTATACTTGCAGATAAGCCTGGAAGACATACATGAAAATAAAGTTAAAAGAATACGGGGGAGTTACTAGGTATTATGACTCTTGAAGTTTGTTTTGCTTCAGCCCTAGTCTGATATAAATATCTAGGGAGATAAGAAATTGTTCCTAACATAATTTCAGGGCAGAGGCAGGGTGGGGGATGGGCATGACAGATGGAAATAAGTCATTTCCAACATTTGGTATCAGCTGCTGAGACAGTCAAATGTATGAACACACCCACCCTAGCTAGCAGGCTTTCTCTTTTAATAGCACATAAATAGACAAAGACCCCAGGCAGATACCTATAAAAGACTATGCAGCCTTAACAGTTAAGTTTTCAAGCTTTTTGATATATCATTTTAACTGCTTAGCAAACAACAATTTTCAGAAAAAAGCTGTAAATATCTACCAAGTGCCAAGAGCTGTGGTAGGCACTGGGAAGATAGCGTCTGCCAAGGAAAAGACCAATTGGATCAGTTTGAAAAACAGATACATTTACAATTGTAAAGAATGTAAATATGATACGGTCACATAAGGGATGAGTTTGGAAAGAAGATTTCTTGGGGAGAAAATAACTTGAGTGGAATGTTAAAGGATAAATATTCATTACCAAAGCAGAAGATTGAGTTAAAAGAAATTATATGTAAGACAAAAGGATGAATAAAATCATGGACAAGAATGCACATTTCCAAGGACTATGTGCTATTTTTAGCTGGAGTACCCAATATGATAGGGAAGGATCAAGACATGACAATTAGAAGTAACTGGGGAAGATTACAAAGGGCCATTACAGGCCACGGTATGAACCTGAATTCTCATGTTATTAAAAAAAATCACTTTTCAGAATTATTACAATAAAAGAAAAAAATAGCAATTTCTTGAAAAAATTATATTTACAAAATACTTCAATTATTCACAGGTCATTTATTAAGTACCTCAAAAATGTGAATTTATGGCTTAAGAATGAGAAAATAAACAGTCTTTGAATAATCAAATTATGAACCCAAAGTCCATGCACCATAGTCAGAAGCTTCATAAGAGCTACCAAGGGTTCAAAGTCTAATTTCTTTTTCCTTCTCTACATTCCTAGTAATCACTTCCTATCTTGTGTTACAAAAGTTCACATACAGATCTTCTCTCTTCCTGATACACTATAAGGTTTTTAGGAATATCCATTCACAGTCATTTTCTATTACTCGTAACTCAAAACTAAGCATGACACTTAGTAGGCATGAAAAATTTGATGCATGAACAAAACTTAGATACAGAAAAAAAAAATTTTGGCTACTAAATTTTTTATGATTTGCGAAAGTTACATCAGCAACTTACAAGATAATACAGGAGGGAATCATAATTCACGATGCAACAATAAACTGACAATTTAGCAAAACGGTAGCCTTATTTAACCCAGTTCAACATTTATTAAAGGCCTATTGTGTGCAACACAGCACTAGATCCTGTGGCAAATTCAAATGTGATTAAGACATGGCTCATACCATGAGCAATTCATGGTCAAGAATTAATACTATGTATGACAAATGTCTCATAATGTGAGTCATGAAAAACGGATTAAAATATATTCAAGATTTAAGTTTTGATTTAAAGTATTCTTAAGTGATTAGATTTTAACATTTAAAAGAGTAAGCTTTACTTGAAGAAAAGCTCCATGACTATCCTTCTGCAAATCTCATAAATACTAGTAAAACTTCAGATTTATATAATGCCTTTTCAAGTAAGGAGTAGAGAAATTCCCATTAAGATTGTTTCCTTTCAACATTTTACCAGAGGTCCTAGTCAGTAAACAAGGAACAGGAACAAGAATAGGTATAGGATTAGAAAAAGAAAAAATATTGTCATTATTTGTAAATAATCTTTGCATAATAGCTGAGAAAGTCAGATTATTCAAAACTAATTACAAATCAGCAAGATTGCTAAAAATCAAATATCCAAAATCCACTTAAAGATGTCTACGTGAATATTCATAATGGTATATTAAAAATAGCCTCAAACAAAAAAAAATATCTGTCAATGGTAAATGAATAAATAGTGATATATTCACAGTATGAAATAGAGCAATAAAAAGGAATAAAAATAACACACCCCAGCATGGCTGAATCTCAAAAACATGCTAAGTAAAAGAAGTCCTACACAAAAGAGTTTCGTTTGATTTCATTATGAAATTCTAGAAAAGACAAAACCATGGTGACAAAATGCAGCTTAGTGGTGGTCATAGTGAGAGGCTGGAAAAACTGACTATACAGAAGCATGAGAATCATTTTAGGGTGATGGAAACATGTCCTATCTTGACTTTTACAGTGGACTCATGACTTTACATTGCTACCATAAACTCAAACTGTACAAATAAAATGGGTAAGTTGTACTGCATGACAATTAATTTCAACGTGGAAGGTAGGGAAGACATCAACTGAGTTCAGGAAATAAAGAAAGTCTTACAATACCAAGTGCTGGGGAAGGAACTGAACAAAGGGAAGGTGTCCATCAAGAGAATAAAGTGTTGGGGCTGGGGTTGTGGCTCAGCAGTAGAGCGCTTCCCTAGCACGTGCAGGGCACCTGGTTTGATCCTCAGCACCACATAAAAATAAAATAAAGGTATTGTGTCCAACTACAACTAAAAAACAACTAAAAAAGAGAATAAAGTGTTACAGACTTATATAATATTGTTAAAAAGAATCAACTAGCCCTGTTGACTTAATTAGACATAATAATGAACTTAAAAAAAAGGAAAGTTGTACAATATATAAGTATATATTTAAGAATACTAAGTATGATATTTAAGACCTTAAAAATAAAATATACTATAGGTTCTCTATATATTCTCTATATTTTCATATACTTGGAATATTTCATAATTAGGGACAATGAAAAAAAATCACTAAGCAGCAGGAACTTCTTCACTGGAGTATATAACTTTACCTGGCCTCATTTAATAGAAGTCACCCAGGCATTTCCTCCCCCTGTACTGTAATAAAACTGGCACACCTTAAATTGTGTTTACAAGGTAACGGAACTCCCACAGGTGCTGTACAATTATCATCTCATTAATCTCCCTGAAACCTCAAGATTTTAGCCCAGTTTATAAATGAAGACACTGAAGTACATGCTGGCCTATAAACAATAGCAGATACAGAAACAGCAGATATACAAAGTCACAGCTTTCAAATATTTCACTGTAGCACCATACTAATTTCTGGCTCAAATAAATCTTACTGGATGATAAAGTAGAATTACTTAGCCACTATAATGTAAAATGAAAGATATAAATTATGTTCTGTTACTTCTATTAGTTAAGAATCAGGTCATCTCAATCAGTTCTCTAAGAGGCTTCAGTAAATGTGCTTGAGTTATAAATTTATAAAATGTTTTTTTCCAATAATTTTTTATTCTGTTCTCAAACTAACAAATCACTTCACATCCTCAGGCACTTCTACTGGCACCTTTTTAATATGATAAATGAAGCTTGTAAGAGACATTTTCAAAGCTCAGATGTACTATCTTCTATTATTAAAACAGCAATGCTACACTAAAGAGGAAAATATATCTTAGGTTTAAAAATTAAGAGACAGAAACACATACACAATGGCACAGAAACACTTTAACTATAAAAATAAAACAGAAACATGGAAAAGTACCGACATAATTTACTCAGAATATCATGGGCTATTAAATCTTCAAAAGTAATTTTTTTTTCTGCTAAGAAACACAATACATTTCAAAACATGTAATGCATGTAAATTCAGGTATACATAGGTCATCTACCCATGATGTGTTGTTTGGACCACATTTCCCCAAACAAAATCAGCTGCCAATA